ATTAAAATACATTATTTTAATATATATATAGATTATATTCAAACTATATTTTATCTCATATATATATATATATATAAACATATAGACACATATATATATATATATATATATATATACAGACATATATATATACACACATATATACACACACACACATATATATACACACACACATATATACAAACTCAGGTTGACATTAACAATCAGTACAACTATGTGTAAATCCTATCGCAGATATTCAGCGCTTGTAATAAGTACCGCGCATATATATATATATATATATATATATATATATATATATATTTATTATTAAAGACATTTTTATGTTTCGCGTGCTGTTATTTATATTTAAGCAATACTAAATACTTGTATCTATAAATAACAACGTTAAACATAAAATGTCTTTAATAAATAAAATTCGTCCTTAATCATTTTAATATATATATATATATATATGAATTACTTATATATATATATATATTTACATATTATATACATACATACTCTCTCTCTCTCTCTCTCTCTATATATATATATATATATACATATACAAATTACATATATATATATAAATTACATGTATATATATGTACATATTTATATACATACTATATATATATAGATAGATAGATAGATAGATAGATAGATAGATAGATAGATAGATAGATAGATATTTTATGTATATTAGTTTTATTAATCTTTTTTCTGAAATACGGACTACTTCACACAAATGTGGCGCTTGTAGATAGGAAAAATCCGAGTCGAAAGGTTAGATATAATACAAATTTCAGTTATTTTTGGCATCTGGGATAGCCCCATCAGCAAAATGTAATTTGCATACACGTGAAAAAATATTGATTGATTCGTTTTCTACGGCTTATCAACCTGTAGCACGTTATTTAAAGCCAGAAACTATTTTTAGATTGTAAACATTTGGTGGGGATGGGAACATAATAATGATATAACGATACAACTTTTACTAATTAACCCATAGCTGGGGATAGAAAAAATGGCTTCCAACGAAGAGTATCTGCGCTTATTGAATATATAGAACCCAACTGGAACTGAACTCGATTTTCTGTTTAACAATTTCTCAGGCATTGAGTCCGGTAAATCTTATTAATACTGTTTATATATATATATATATATATATATATATATATATATATATATATATATATATTATATATATATATATATATATATATATATATCTCAAATGGCTAACAACACTTGCTATTCTCAAATGGTCACTAATTCAGGTATGACCTTGCTCTACATTGCTTAACTTCGGTGATCGTTTTAGGGTTCGGTCTTTCAACGTTATTTGGCCGTAAACTTAAGTAAAAAAAAATCAGTATGTTCTCTTTATTTATGTTGATTGATAAGTCATGCTACCATAGCAGAATATTTCGTTACTAAGGAGGAGAGGAGAATAGGCCGAGTGGTCAGAGCGTTTGGATTCTCACCCTGAGACCCGGGTTCGAAACTCACCATGGTCGATTTGTCAGGAAGATTTCGTGATGCTATAGAACTGTCGATCCCATATGTGAGTGAAATTTGGTAGATGGAACACTTTGTGGCCGTCGATAGATAGCACGAAGTCTCAAGTCATCGTGGCCGAGTCTTGTTCAAATTGTTGATCACGCTAGATAACACGCTCTTTCCCAGAAACTGTAACTAAGGTCTGCTCAGTATAGATACATAGTTGCGTCGTGCTCCCCCTCCTTGGAGGGCTGTACGCGCATCATTTATCATCTCTCAGTTGCGTCTTGGACAGAGTGCGCTCCAGGGGCTTCTTTGTCCAAAGGACGGAGGAGCAACTGAGGAAAAATTATCCTCAAGAGGTGCCCAGCCCTGGAGGAACAGCGCTTTCCTGAGGCCGCGCCCTCCATTGCACCAGAGGGAGGATCGCTGCTGCTCACTTTCCGCCAGCCAACAACCAGGACAGTTTAAGGGGCTGAGGGAAATTTTGTCCCTTGCCAAGTGTCCATGCCTCAGGTCCCCACATTAAACAGACCTTGTGTCACATCTCGTTCTAGGTGGGGACGAGTAAATACCGCATAGTTGCAGTATAAACCACTTTGGGTGTTAAATAAAACAGATATGCGCCTCAGCAAGCGTCTGCAATAGGGATTGGCTAACCGCCCTAGTAGACAGATACGAGTGGCCAGCTATACAGAGGAGATCAGAAAGCTTGTCATATAAATCCTTAGTATGTTTTTTTATATTATCGAAGAGATTATTTTACAAGTATGAATTTTCCTAGACTAATTTAGCCTGGCGTATAATATATTTTTTTCCCTCAACTCAGACATTTTTGCCTAAAATCTCTCTGCTCACCCATAATACTAACTGGGCCGGAACGAAGTACTAAATTCTTTTAATTAATATTCCGATGCCTTATTTCCCCTTCAAAATCCACAATTGGTTGGTTTTAATTCCAGGCGAATTCCAAGACGTCACATATATAGCCAGGGTTCGCGAATGTAACGTATTCCTAAACAACGACGAAATCCACCAAATTCTCTAGTTTTCTATTCAAGATCACTTCATTTCCGCCGATGCTTTCTTCGGCCTTCTATAGCAGGCACCAACTCGCCGTGTTTATTCGTCTCACCAAAGTCGTTTGAATGGATCAGCGAGAAAAAAAATCCAACTAACGCATGCTGGTAATGATCTTTTTCAAAAAAAAAAGTATTGCTGTTAATAGTTAACTATTTACCCATAGCTGGAACCCTAACAGGTGCTACCACCCCGGGTCATGTCAAACCTGGGAATACCAGCAATGCGCAGGGAGGTTCCATTCTATAATGCCACCAAAATCAAACTCTTTTTTATATCCCCCAAAGACTCGCCATTTCCACAGAGTCGAATCATCCCTATTTCTCTCGTATCCCAAATGTAAAAAAAAAGTCCCACTTAAAAGAATTGCTATTTTATGGAACATACTCCAGCGCAGATGCTTAAATAGTCTTAACCATCCTGGGTATGACGTCAAACTACATCTGGCAGCAAGGCTACTGATCAGGAGATTTTGAGGGGCGTGAAACCACCTCTTCGTTGCGCCAGGTTAGTAGCACCTGTTAGGGTTTCGGATAGGGACAAATAGTCAATCTCCAAATTGGAGTAAAAACACTATTGAACTCTAGTAGTAAAAATACTAGCAATACAAAAAAAATATTACCAGCAACAGATTTTTGAAAACAAGATAGAAAGGAAACATATAAACACACGCCCGGGATTTGCTGGTTATTTTCTTTTTACAAACCTTCTCGTACATTATTTACATTATTCGCACTATTATCCTCATCTTTGTTGCCATATTTATTACAACGTTTCGGCCGTTGTACGCTCCGGCCTTCTTCAGGTGGTTGGAATTTCGAACTGAACATTTTATTTCGCTCACTGGGGTAGACTGTTCTAGTTCCATGGCACAATGGATAAAGGTGTTGGTTAGATCCAGTGACAGAACCCAAAGAGTGTGAGTTCAATACCCGGCTTAGGCAGTGGAGAACTTTCAGAGGGAAAATTAACAGGAGATAACTGATAACTGACATCCATTAAACATGGCACATGGAACTAGAACAGTCTACCCGAGTGAGCGAAATAAAGGATTCAGTTCGACATTCCAACCACCTGAAGTGGGCCGGAACGTACAACGGCCGAAACGTTGTAATAAATATGGCGACAAAGATGAGGACAATAGTCCGAATAATGTAAATAATGTACATAATACCTCATCTCAGAAATATAGACAAACCTTCTCGTATTGTCTTCTTTCTTCTATAGTGCTATATAGGGATAAAATGTCGCTACCGACACATGTGTTTGAACATAGATCGCCAGTGAGCAAACACAGGCGATCCCATTATTGAATTAAGTAGACCACGTGACCATAGCGGAAACGCATATATGTAGGAAGTAGCTGACAACTAACGATCGTTATTTCTAGTCTATCCTCTATTACTATTCGGATCACCATTTCTATCTATCCTGGATAAAAAATAAGCTACCCCCCAGTATAGGCGCTGATCACGAGGTTTTGAAGAGCGTGGGACCACCTCTGAATTGCTGGTGTTCCCAGGTCCAACATGAACCGGGGTGGTAGCACCTGTTAGGGTCCCCGCTATGGGCAAATAGTTAACTATTAACAGCAATACTTTTTTTAAAAAAAAAAAAAGATTATTAACAGCAATACAATTTTAAAGGAAAAATATTACTAGAAACAGATTTTTTAGAAAACAAAGTATTACCAGCAATAAAAAGTTTTGTCGGCATTAAATTGAGGTTGATATGCCGTAAAACAAAATAAACCAAACAATCTAATTAAAGAATACATATTCTATTCATACGAATCTATCCTAAAATGTTGTCGGCATTAAATAACCCATTGGGTTGATATGCCGTAAAAAAAATAAACCAAACCAATCTAAAGCAAAGAATACATTTCTATTCATGAATCTATCCTAAAAAATGTTGTCGGCATTAAATAACCCATTGAGGTTGATATGTCTTAAACAAAATAAACCAAACCAATCTAAACCAAAGAATACATATTCTATTCTTGAATCTATCCTAATAATGTTGTCGGCATTAAAATAACCATTGAGGTTGATATGCCGTAAAACAAAATAAACCAATCTATCCTCTATTACTATATGGAACGCTATTCTCTACTCTACTCACTATACTATTTCTCTATACGGATCACGATTTGCTGGTTACTATTCAAGCGAGTATTATTGAGCAAGTACTATTACTGTGAGTGTTATTCAAAGGCGTCTGACACCAGTATTGTTCAACGGCGTTACCAGAGTTATATTTGCGATTACAAAGTCTCTACTACAACGAGTATTACGAAAGTAACAATGAGTGTTCGTTGACATCACAGAAATTTCAACCGAATGTTCGCTGAAATCACAAAATATAGTTTATTCAATAAAGTATTTTTGTGTTATTGATTTCCTCTCTCTCTCTCTCTCCCTCTCTCTCTCTCT